CCAAATTACTGACCCAATGACCTAAAATAACTAACATAAAACAAAAATCTCTGGAAGATTAAAAACTAGCCAAGATTCTTTCAAAAAGAAAAAGTTGCTGAGAGAAAAAGATTCAGAACTTTTGGGGAAAATTTAGGAAATTCCCAAGCCAGGAATTCTAAAGGGTAAGAGATAAACATGTATGGCAGGAGCTATAAAATGATGCGCAGTGGGTATGGACCCCGTATTTCTACACTGATGAGAACAGCAGAGCCTTCCTTCTGCCCATGGCTAACAAGTCAGAAGGGATAGAACAGGGTACCAAAACATAAGGCAGATGTCATCAAAGCCAATTACACACAAGAAGTCTTTGCCTATGGTTTTACCCTGACAGATCGTTTCAATACTGTCTTAAACCTTGACCCAGATGAAATCTGAGTAATTTATATATGCCACTGGGAATTTAAAGTTTCTAGGCTTTAACAAGACTGTGCATAATTCTTGGAAAAAGAGCCTGGAGTCTCTGGAGACACGCTGACGAGAAGCCTTTTCTGTTGAGCATTTCCAAAAAGTTCACTAAGCAATGTAGTAGTAGCATTTAAATATGATCATCTTTTATTCAAAGAAGAAAATATAACCACAACACAAGAGCGTGATAGAATAAAAAAAATTTTTTTTAAAAAGCAGTAACGAAGGGGATCCAGAGAGGAATCCCAGTGAGGCTGGACATGTTTGTAGAAACTAAGTACAAGTTTTTAAAAGAAAGCAACACAGACAATTAGTGCTGGGGCTCCGCAGTTCCAGATACAGGCACTACTCACGACAAATGCACTGAACCTGGGAAAATCTCAGGTTTCTGTCCTAGAGCTCTTCTGGGAAATAAAGCATGCGGTCTGACTGATAACATGCTAAATAGATTCTGGATGCTCTGCTGGGCATTAAAGCTTCAACTTTCAGAGATATCCAAAATATCTAGCATGTAAAAAAAAAACCATAAGCTACAACTGCACATGTAATTGAGTTGTGGAATGTTAGGGATGGAAGGAACCTTAGACATTCTCCTAGCCAATCCCTCCTAGCTGGTAACTTGGCTAAGGCTGCAGTGGTGGCAGAGCAGGGGTCAGAACCTAGGTCTCCTGACTTCCAAACCCAAACCCTTTTCACTGCCCCAGGTGACTTAACCACCAGCAAAACCTGAATCTTTCAACAAGTAGGCATATCTGATAATTTAAGATAACGGAATAATCGGGTAGCTGACAAAATTCATCATTTATCAACTGTGCCTGGGGATTTTCCTAAAAGCCATGCTCTTCTCCCCCATGGGCCACTCTGGGAAAGAGTCTCTTACCTGAGGTTTGTCACCAAGATGCTGTATTTTGGCCTCAGTCAGACTTCACCTGATTTATAGGTGATCATTTAGCAACATTATGCAAAGCAGCTTACAGTTAAACAGGACTGCTCAGTTCTGGTTTAGCTGTTTTTTCTCCCTAACATGTAGATATGACAACACATAACAATACTAAGTAGAAAGGTTTGCTTACAAAACTGACCATTGTAACAAATTGTTTTGTAAAAAGAATGCTTCCCCATTCATCTGGGTTATATGCTTTTACATCGAACTTATTCATGGAAAATACCTTTAAGTAATAGTCTCATAATGCGCAAATATTGGTCAATATTCTTTTAGAGATTAAGGCCACAACCAGGAAGGTCAATATGAATCCAGTTTATTCAAATACCTGTTAAATTTTTTTCCTTCTAAATAAACTATCTTGTTTAGAGTAATTTTAGATGCATAGCAAAATTGAGCAGAAAGTACAGACAGTTCCCATATACCTCTTGCCCCACAATCAACATCCTACCCCAAATACATTTGTTACAATTAATTAACCGATATTGACACATCATTATCATTCAAAATCCATAGTTTATATTAGGGTTCACTCTTGGTGTTGTACATCC